GCTTTGCTGTCTTTGAAAATAAATGGACACTGTGGTCCTTGGGAAAGAGGATCTTAACCAAAACAGCTCACATCTGTTTCACCTTGATTATTGAGATTGGCAACAATTTTTGGGAAAAAAAAGTGTTTAAAAAAACCCTTTACTTTTACACAGAACATCTGGGAGAGTCAAGTACAGGAGAGAAGAAAAATGTACTGAGGGTCCCTTCAGGCTTTTCTTGAAGGAGTGATGGGGAAAAAAAGAAGCAGAAAGTCAACTTTTGTGTTATCTTTGTCCTTGAAATTTCCATTCCTCCAGGCTACCATAAAGTAGACAATACTGTCAGAGAACTGTGCTTAATCCTTCAGTGAGATTAATGATTCATGGCTTAAAAACTAGGAATTCCCTGCCAACATTCCAACATGTACTTTTGGTGCATTTTAGAACTGCTCTTCAGCAAGCTCTGAGGGACACATGACTAGCTAAAATCAATGGCTACTGAATAGAAGTGTAGTGTGTGTATTTTTTCCTTCATACATTTCTGTTCCTCTTCCCTATGGTCTCACAGGGAGAAAAGGTGGTGAGTTGGCCTCAGCAGTTCATGCCTATACTAAAACAGGAGATCCCTACATGAGATCTCTGGTTCAGCACATCCTTGGCCTGGTGTCTCATCCTGTACTGAATTTCCTTTATCGTTGGATTTATGATGGAGAGCTGGAGGACACATACCATGAGGTAATGGGTGTGGTGTGAGAAATATTTTCTCTCTCTTCCTTTGCTTTGTGGGAGTAGAGTCTGTGAGAAGCAAAGAGGAGAGTTTGAAAAGTAGGCTGTGATGGAAATGTGTAACATATGAGTAAGTAATATATATAACATCATGAAATGTGACTCTTCATGGATTCAGTCAGGTTGGAGATTCCAGAGGTGCACTAGGTTGTCTTCAATGAATTATAGTTCATTATTACACTTGCTGTTACAGAATTCAGAACAAGTAAGTTCTAGTAGCTGTCCTGTTTCTCCTTATAAGTGTTTTTTATGCCTTTTTAAGCTCTCCCAACTCTTTTTCCTGTCTCAAATCAGTACACTCTTGTTAAAATGATGGGTTTTTTATTTCCTGAAAGTCAAAGAATCATTTGTAAACATGAATTGAGCACTTCTGAGACACATCTGAGTAACTTGAGTGTGAAATGTGCTGATTTGAGAGACTGTCCCTCTGGGTCAAAAATAAAATGAGTACAAATATTACCCACAGCTTGATCTTTAAAGTCAGAATTAGGAGACTTGTGTGAAATATCTGAGAGTCTTTATGGCTAGAAGTTTAAAAGAGACTTTTTTTTTCTTGGCTACTCCTCAGACATGTGAGGTGTTGGTTGGTTTTAGGTTTTTTTATATATATTATTAGCTTTCAAGTCTTTGTTGAAAAGTTTACATGTGTGCTCTAAGAACATTCTTCATGCTGAAAACCACTGCTGGATACAGTACACAGAAAACTACAATTTTCATAATGTAGACACAGTTTTTGAACAAAGACAACTGGCCATTCTTGGTGGAAATGGTATTTGGAGGCAGAGAAAAAAGTTCTCATCCAAAAAATGGATATCTTGTTTGACAGGATGAGGACAGAATCTGTCCAAAAGTCATTTAAAAAGAAATTAATCTTGTTGTTTTAGTTTCTTAAAAATGAAGGTATTCCCTTGCCTGGGGTTGAGAGACTTGATTACCAGTCCAGTTGAAGAATTCCTTGACTTTGGTTTTGGTTATTTTTTTCCTGCAATTCTGCATCTGTTACAATAGGAGGAACTCCAAAGGGGCTTGAGTAAAAGTAGTACCAGTAAAATAAAAACATATTGTACTTCTGAACTTTATCTCCCATCCTAACTGTATAACTGATTGCCAGGAAAATGCTGTGTGCTTCTCTATTTCATAGTGGATGCTGTACAGACAGCACACTGTACCCTGAGGCAGCCAGTGTTTCATAACATGTAGAGGAGATTAAATTATGTAAACTGTTCTTGAACCTTTTTTCTTCAGAGTTCACATTGGCCAACATACAATTTATGTATCACTTGCCAGGACAGGTCTGCACAGCAGCTATGACAAAACCATTTTTGTTTTCTTTTGTAGTTAAAGAACAATTCAGAATATTTTTACAATTTTCTGAAGACAGAACTGAAGCTCTAGGAGAGGCTTTACACTCATCTTTTGTGTTTTGTTGCTAATATTTGTTTCAATCTACAGTTTTTTGTAGCTTCAGATCCTACAGTGAAAACTGATCGCTTGTGGCATGACAAATACACTTTGAGGAAATCAATGATCCCTTCTTTTATTACAATGGAGCAATCAAAGAAGGTATGAATTCAAAAGTTAGGATTCTGATGACTTGTTTGCCCTGTGCTGCTGCTTAGATTTCCATTCAGAAAACAGAGAGAAAATTTAACAATAAATAATCACTTTAAGAATTTTATAATTGTTTGCTGAGGAAGATTACAAGACTTCTTCCTTTCCATTCTCTAACTGATAAACTTTAAGAAGATCTCAATTGGGGAAAGAAGTTTGTGTTTGAAACCTTTTTGTATGATCATTGAGGCTCTGGATTGCTGTGGTTGGGATTGTGAAGGGAAGAGGACAGAAAGAAGACAAAACATCCTGCTCCCCTGGGTGGCTGCATGTGACTTTTTTTTTTTGGTGATGTTCATTTTTTAATGTGCCAATCACTTAAAAAATATATTTATTTTTTTTTGTTGTTTAGGTCCTTCTAATAGGAAAATCCATCAACTTCTTGCATCAAGTTTGTCATGATCAAACTCCATCCACAAAGATGATTGCTGTGGCCAAGTCTGCAGAGTCTTCAAAAGATGGTACAGTATCTATCACTGCTTCCCTTTGGAGTGAGCTCTGTGCAGTAGGTGCTTTAGGCTGGAAACTGGAAGTAGAATAAAAGCCCTATCATCCCTAAAATATAGGTATCTTAATGGATGCTTGCATTTTATGAAAGATGTGATTAAAAAATAATCAATTAGTTGGAAATACAAGGGGCAGTAATAACAGGCAAGACAGAAGCCCTTCTGTAAATGCACTCTAGCACTATAATATCTCTGAAGAAAATTGAGTACACATAAATCAGTAAAATTCTTTTTGAAGTTTACTTTTAATTTGGGTTGCCAGTTTTTCAATGTTAATCCAAAACTTAACTATCAGAATTCCTTCAGGTTGTTTCTTTGTTTACAAGAAATTTCAGTTTTAATGACTGAGAACTTAAATACCATTTGCAATTATGCTTTGGTGGCATACTCTTTGCAATGAAATGGCAGTGAAGATGATATTTTAGTACTATAACCTGGTTTTATAACTTGTTTAATATACCAAAGAGTCTAATTGTTAGGGTGCAGATCACTGGGATAATTTCTCTGATGTATTTTTGACATGGTTTCTAGAAGTAGAATGATGTTCTACTAGTATATCCAGCTTTTGCCAAGAGAAAAGAGATACCTAAACATTTGGTTTTCTGTCAATTTGTTTAGTTTTCTCAGAATATAATTCCTTGCACTTTTTGACATCTTATGCACATCTTTTCTGTTATTCTTATAATCAAATATGACATTATTTACAACCAGATGATCTGCAGAGATCTCTTCCCACCCCTGCCATTCTCTAATTCTGTGAACTCTGAAGCTTGATTTTGTGGGATTCTATTTTTTTTTTCCCCATCCAGATTAACCTGGGATTAGTTTTTAACTGTTCATAGCATGGGCTTTTATCATGTGTCCCTCCAAGAAAGATGTTCCAATAATAAACTCCCATTCAAGTCTGCAAGAATATTTCATCTAATAATTTGATTTTGTCCCCCGTGCATCACTTGCTTAGTTAGAGATGTGCTTGAAGTGCAGAGAGGGGTCAGGGTTAAGTGAATTAAGGGCTGTAAATTCATTTGAAGCATCCTCTTGCCAGCTACTCCTGAAAAAGGCAAAAACATTCCTTGGCTGCACTGCTTTCACCACTTTACATGGCATGATTATCCAGGTTTGTTTGGGTTTTTTAATTTGCACTTGTTTCTCCTTGGTGGAATGGAAGATCTGCACAAATATAGGTTCCCTATTATATATTGTGAGAGCTTCAAAGCAAGTACATTATCTTAAGTGCTGAGAATACCTGTTTCAGACAGAAATGGAGTTTTAGAGATGAATGTTATCCAGTGTATCTGCAGAAGTCATGCAGAGCTTGTGGTCTGCAGCCTAAATACCCCCTAGTCCTGCACTGCCTCAATTCTGCACAAAACCATGTTTGTATTTAGAGCATTTTGCCCATTCAATCCAGAAAGAACATTTTGTGCCAGGGATGTTGGAAATGCCTCCTGTTGTCCTTGTCTGGGCCATCTGACAGTATCCTTGAGAGTCCCTTCAGATAATTACTTCTAATAAGATGATGGAAAGCTGGGTTGCCAGCCTGAATTCTGGATGCTTTTTTTCTAATTTTAAATCTGAATGTTCCATGGGTTGGGCTGTATTTTATAGTTCTTTAATTTGCTTTGGAATCTTAACTCATGTTTCCCCACTTTCCTTTTGATGCTGAAGTAATCGTGAGGTAAAAAATTGCCTGAACAGGTATTGAACCAGGAAGTCAGAGATGAAGAACTGTGTAGAAGTTGGTCATCCTGCCTGACAGGGGATTGTAGCAGGCACCTGGGGAGGAAGGACAGTCAAAGAGGCAGATAAAAGTCAACCTGGCTTCAGCCTCTCTACCTGTCCACACTTTGGGAACCTCTGAACCAGGAATGACCTGAGACCACTACATTCAGTAGCAACTCCTGGGCCTGCCTGTCAGGGCTTTTAGCTTGACCCTTTCTTGACCCATTCATGGGTGTGTCTTGAGATAATTTTGGACAGCTCTAAAAACTTGTGTCTAGGCTTCTTTTTCTTGATGTAAGCAACTTTTTCAGTAGTTTTGCATGTCAGACAGGGACGTTGCCTTGCCTGTGCTGGTGTGCACACATGCAGAGATGGTACATTAGTTACACACACAAACATGAATTTTCCAGCCTCAGAGATGGACTGCGGTCTGGTCACTTCCCTCAAGGCATGGGGGGCTGAACTAATGGCAGGGGAAAGGCCTTTTTTTGGTTCTGTTTGGGCTAACAAGAAATTGAGACTGGTCCATGTGTGCTAATATTAAGTACTAATTTATTTATTGGTTTTTTTTTTTAGCTGCTGATTTGTTCACAGATCTGGAAAACGCATTTCAAGAGAAAATTGATGCAGCTTATTTTGAAACTAGCAAATACCTGCTGGATGTTCTCAACAAGAAGTACAATTTGCTGGAACACATGCAGGCCATGAGGCGTTACTTACTGCTTGGTCAAGGAGACTTTATCAGGCATCTGATGGACTTGCTCAAGTAAGAGAGGAGGAATTGTAATTATGTGCAACTTCTGACACTTCCAAATGTGTTTGATCAGCACAGAAAGTGTTTTGCTTTTGGGAGAGGACCTTTAAAATATCTTGTGCAATTAAACCATCGAGTAATAACTTCTAAATTCCATTTTGGCTTTAATTTCTCATTAAACCTTCACTGTGAATATTGGGCTTCTGTGTTTTGGAGGTGTTTGCTCCAAAACACAGGTCAAAACACCTCAATGTGTTTTTAAAATAATCATTGCCTCATCAGCCTCTCTTTTAGCCACTCAGGTGCACTCACAAGTATCAGTTTCAGTTCTTAAAGTGTATTTACAAACTCACTGCTTTTAAAAGCTTGTGCCACTGAGGAAACTTAGTCAATAAAAAGTCCTTTACAAAGCTTTCCTTTGGTCTAGAAGACAAAGGAAATAGAGCTTTGTAACAGATTTTGTAATAAATTGTAATAAAGCTTCCATGATTTTTAAAGTGAAGCAGAATTAAGGCTGGTTTGTGGCATCAGTATTATGTGTGAGGCAGAAGTAGTGAGGGGCTTTGCAGGACTGGTGATGGGGAGAGGAACATTGCAAGGTGCTTGTAACTTGTGTGTTCCAACTCCCTGAAAGTTTGATTTACATAGAGAGGGTAGATGTCTGTCAGTAAGTCTCTCAAAACTGTAATGAAATGGTTGGTTTGATGTGTTGATTATGTAATCTGCCTTGTTCTAGAGTTGAATGCAACTCAAATTACAGAATAGTTATGCTAGCAATCCTGGTAATTTGAAATTACTGGCATTAAATGAGGATAAAGTTACTCCTCATGCTGATGCTCAGGTGTATAGCTGCAGATGAATAGACATATTCTGCTCAAATGCTGTGCTCATTAGTTTTCTTTCTGAATAAGCCTGAAAGAGTAATATGAGAGGTTTTGGAAGTCTGTCAGAAAGGTGTTTCACTGTGTGCTGTAGTCACTACCCAATTGCTGCTGCAGAGCATCTCAGTGATATGCCACAACTGTTTGTTTCATTACCACCAGGCCAGAGCTTGCACGACCAGCTACAACCTTGTACCAGCATAATCTAACTGGAATCCTTGAAACAGCAGTGAGGGCAACTAATGCCCAGTTTGATAATCCTGAGATCCTAAAACGACTGGATGTTCGACTTCTGGAGGTCTGAAATGTGCCTTTTTTGTGTGTCTGTACATGTAGACATCTATATGAAACTTAATTTTTCATGTGTGTGTGTGTAGTAAGTGCATTTCCCTCTGCCCCTTCCATTGAAGTCTACTTTGACTTATGCAAACCTCATTTTTAAGTCTTTTCTTCTTTTCCCATTTGCTGCCTACTGTCTATTTATGTTTCAAGCTCTGGGTGAGTTTATGGCCATTTCATTGACAATATGAAGTTGAGTATTTGGGATCTCTCAGTAATTGAGGCTGGTGGCCCTGATTGGAGGCTCTGCAAACAGCTCCTGCTGCTGTTGCTCTTAAAAGAATCTAGGGGGTAGTCTTGTCACCAGGGGTTACACAGGGTGAAGCAATGAAAGTGTTTCATGTAGGAGACCTCTGGTAAGAAATTTGAGTTAATGAGAAAACTCTCACCTCTGGGTCTGGGGCTAACTAATGAACTGTAAATAAATCTATACTTGAGTTAATGAGAAAGCCCCAGACCCAGAGGTGAGAGTTAACTAATGAACTGTAAATAAATCTATACCTTGGGCTGAATCATGCCTAAGAATTTTTTCCTTCCCTTCATTTCCTGAACTACCTCCAATGGAAGAACATTGACATTACAAACATCAGCATTTGAGTGAGGTGAATCCCACCCTTGAGTCAAAATTTGATTCATTTTTGCATGATCTACCACTTTTGACCAACTCCTGTCTCTTACATTGATGTGGCTGCCTGTTCTCCCATAGTCTGTGGAGAATGGAAAAGCAGGCAAGAATTGGTCCTCAGCACTAGTGTGCTCTGTTCAGACACTGAAAATAACATCTCTTTTTCAAACAGGTATCTCCTGGGGACACTGGATGGGATGTCTTCAGCTTGGACTACCATGTGGATGGGCCAATAGCCACGGTAATGTCATGTACTGCTGGGAACAACTCAGTGAACTGGAGAGCTGAATATTTGTTATTAATTAGAATAACTTTTTTTTTGGCATCTAGGATTCACCCACTGTATAAATTGTTGAGACACAATCTCAATTCTTTAATTCTAATTCTTTAATTGTTCCTTAGATCTATTGAGAAAATAACTGTTATTGATCAGAATGCAGTTAGCCTCTATAAAGAACTTGTAAAGAACTTCATTTTTTTTGAAAACAAGACACAAAAACGTGGCTCTGACCAGCAGAGGGAAATTTCACATGTAGTTTTGAAAGAGCAAAATGTTTAGGCTTTATTTTCACCCTGCCTTGTACTTCCTGCAGTGCCCTGTGCCTGCTTGCATGTTAGGTAACTCAGCTCAGCCCTTGTGGGAGGATCTTTCCAAAAGCCCTGGGTTTTCCAGGGAAAGTGGACTATAAAGAGATTCTTGGTCCTTCAGAGCACATGTTGTGTCTGTTAAATTTGTACTGCTGTGTGTTTTGTAGGTGTTTACACGTGAGTGCATGAGCCACTACCTGAGAGTGTTTAACTTCCTCTGGAGAGCAAAGAGAATGGAGTATATCCTGACTGACATATGGAAAGGGCACATGTGCAATGCCAAGCTGCTGAAAAGTATGCCAGGTGAGAGAGCCCCAGATGGGTAACAGAACTGTAAACTGCATTTAAATGACTGCATCTTATTTTAAACTGTGTGTAAAGAGGGGGGAGGAAGTGCTAGGACAGATGAATTTTATGTTTTGTTGCTCCTCTTGAGTGTTTAATGGTAAATGACTGGGAGTTTTTGATCCTACTTCTCAGCTGAGAACATAGTCCTATTGTGAGCATAGTAATATTTCCAAAGAGAGATTTGTTTTAATTGTTAGGAACTGTTCAGTGGGTGGGAGTAGACACCTTGGCCTCAGAAGGTCACTAGGAAACAAACTCCTAAGGTCTGCTCTAGTGCACAAGGCTGATCTCTGGGACCTGACTAGGTTTCCTTTGGGCTTCTGTCAGACAGCATTTAGTTTACTGTCATTTCCCTGTCCCAAATAAGTGCTTGTTTGACTCAAAACCAGTGGTCTATTGCTTTCTGTTCTCTTTCTAGGGTTCAGTTAATGGATTTTGTTCCCTTGATCTGAAGGTCTTCAGGCTGCAGCTGTTTCCCACTGCTGGGGCTTTGTTCTTTGGTTCTCAGGAGGAAGGAGGGTTTTTTAATTGCTTGTTTCCCCCTCCCCTTGGAGGACCTTTCTTATGCTTTGCCATAGAGCAATCTTCTGTAGGTAAAAGCTTAGCTGCTTGTTGCTTTTAGGTTTAGTTGTCTTAAGCAACACAGACATTTAAAGTGTTGGCCAAGCTGTTTGTAGCTGTTGTTGGCAGAAGGAGCCAAGTGTTACAAGATGGTTCCTCAAAGGAGGAAGCACTTGCAGGGTCTTTTGCTTTTCAATCACATTAACTTTCAAGGATAGCTTTATTCAAAATTCTCAAAAAAAGTCTCAACAGTCAGGGATTTGAGTGCTTTAAAGGTGTTCTTCTAGACAGTAGTGTCAAGCTTGCTGCTTTCCTGTCAGTAACTGGAAGAAGAAACACAGATGTATCCAGCTCACCAGTGTTGTTTGGCCAACCCTGGAGGCTTTTTTCATTGGTCCTATTTAAAGTAGATGCAACATAATGTTTTTGGGTAGTCTTTGTGCAAAAGCATAAGAAATGAAGAGTGGAGTAGCTTGCTGTAATATTTTCCAGCTCACTGGATGGTTGCAGCCAAGATTGCTGCTGCCACCCAAGATGAGGGGCTGTTCTGTGAAGTATTCAGTTTGGTAGAAGAAAGTTTACCAGGCTGGTTTGATGGCTGTGCCTGTCCTTGTGGTCTTTAACATGCCATCTCTTTGGATTTGTTTTGCAGAGCTTTCTGGGGTGCTGCATCAGTGTCACGTTCTGGCATCAGAAATGGTCCATTTCATTCATCAAATGCAGTATTACATTACATTTGAGGTATACTCTATCCACCCAATTAATTGCTTAAAAATTAAGTACTTTTAATATTCTGTATGTGTTGTGTGTCTTAAATTTCAAAGAGCTTGTCATCTAGCAAATCAAAACAGCCCCATCCTGAATCATTGCTCCAGGTGCTTGAATGTTCGTGGGATGAGCTCTGGAACAAAGTCCAGCAGGCACAGGACTTGGATCACATCATTGCAGCTCATGAAGTGTTTCTGGACACAATCATAGCTCGGTGCTTGCTGGATAGTGACTCCAGGGTATGTCTTCACCTTTCCATTAGGTTGTAGCTTTGTGATCTTGGCTCCTGCAGTAAAAAAAGTCATTTTTCTTCCTCTAAGACCTTATTAGGGCAGACACTGTACATACTCCCCAGCCAGAGTGACAAATGCTAATTATAAAACTTGGTACAGTGTGGGCCAGTTGATTTTGATCTTAAGAAGCTGTGTGATCATGCAACAACTGACTTAAGACTTTGTAAAACTGTCTCTCCAGCTGTGTGTGTGAAGATTTAAAGTACTCATGCTCTGAAGAGTGGTGGTAACTGTTAAAACTGTTAAAACTGTTTTGTTGCACAAGTGTTTCATTTTTTTTTTGTTGCTTTACTGTCTGACAGGTACTGCTCAACCAGCTTCGAGCTGTTTTTGATCAGATCATTGAGCTCCAGAATGCCCAAGATGCCATGTACAGAGCTGCTTTGGAAGAGCTGCAGCTGAGGTTGCAGTTTGAAGAGAGGAAAAAACAGCGTGAGCTTGAGGTAAAGGCTGTTAGTAGAACATGAAAATTTATTGATACAAATATATGTGTCTTTTGATACACTCAGGATTTTAGAGATCATGTAGAGGTAAAGCAAAAATGAAAAATGGAGTTGGGATAAATCTAAAAGTCCATCAGCAGTAGCTAGTGAATTCAAACAAAACTGCTGAGTGTTTTTCATTCCTGTATTGCCCAATGAATAGATTCTCTAGTGAGTTTGAGGATGAAAAATTTAGGGCTCATTTGGGTGAAGGAAGTGGAAGAGGCTTTAATATTCTGAACCCTTTTGCAAAAAAGCCACAGCTCTGCAAGCCTTCATGCTGTCAGTCTGTGGGACACACAGTGCTGGGGTGAGACTCTCCTGCTTTGCTAGCCTCAGATTTCTTTCCTGTGCTCTGCAACCATCAAGGGAACCAATAATTTAATTATTAGAGGGCTCCACGTTTGGCTTTTTATGCCAATGGTTGGTTTGTATAAACATGGTGATTTAGCTGGGCAGAAGATGGCCCAATTAGCAACTTTCATAACCTCTTAACTCCTTTGGTCTCTCTTTGTAGGGCAAGTGGGGTGTGACTGCATCAGAAGATGAGGAAGAAAGCAAGAGGGTGAAGGAATTTCAAGACTCAATCCCCAAAATGTGCTCACAGCTGCGAATACTCACTCACTTTTACCAGGTGCCCCTTAGTTTATGGATGTTTCACTGTGGATGCTGAGCTTTGATATCTAGAAATCACTTTCAAATACCAAATAGATGTAAATTCTGCAGTTGTGTGTGCAGTTTGTGAATCTTGGTCTTTTGCTTCCCTCCTTAAAAGCCTGTATTCACTGTTCCTCAGTAGACAGGAGGTTTTGGGATCATTTCTGGTGTAATCTAGAGAGGAAAAAAAAAAGTAGAATTCCATCTGCATTCCATTTTTTCTCACCATCTTCTCAAGTCCTTGCTACTAAAGACTGCAGAAAGGGTGCTTATTAAGGGCCCTGAGAGTTGATTTTAAGCACACTGAGCTGGGCAATGGGTAAGCTGTTGGGGGAACATGCCATCTTCTTTAATGGTAATTCTTCTTTGTCTCTAACTTGTTATATCTGATTCTAAGGCTCCCATTCCCCAAAAAAATCAACTCTTAGGTTTACCTTTTAAGAGGACAATTGGTTCTTTATAGCAGTTACAGCTGTGACTTAGCACTTGGCTTTTTTTGAAGGCCATAGGGATCCTGAGCTTTGGTGTGAGGATTTCAAATCTGGGAGGAATTTGCTTCTGGGTCCAAATTTTGCAGTCCTCCCTCCCAGGGGAAAATGGAGCCAAGTTCTTTAAGTGTTGGCTGTCCACAGATTGCAGTTTGTGTGCTCTACAGGATTGCTACAAGTTGGTGATGCAGCATTTGCTTGCTTGGACTGAGCCCCACTATGGGTTTTCCATGCAGGAATTCCCTTGGTCATCTTTGGAAGTAATGAGGTGCTCACAAAACACACCAGTGATGTCTTCTCATCTCTCTCTTGGGTTTTTCTCTCCTTCAGGGAATCGTCCAGCAGTTCTTGGTCCTGCTGACAACCAGTTCTGACGAAAGCCTTCGGTTTCTTAGCTTTAGGTTGGACTTCAATGAACATTACAAAGCCAGAGAGCCCAGGCTTCGTGTGTCACTGGGCTCTAGAGGCAGACGAAGCTCACATGTGTGAGACAGCTAAGGGCTGCACCTTGGGATCTGAAGGCTGCTGAAACTC